CAAGCATTGCGCAATTCAAGAATCAGCTGTTAAAGCGATTCGAAATTTTGTTGTTGAATTCAGCAATAGCAACAATTACTTAGATAACTGTTCTTAAGTTTAGACGTTAATATACTTCCAGTTATATCCATGAACAAAATACACAAGATCACGCGGGAAGGAAAGAACGAAAAAAGTTATTTTCTAGCTGCCGAAATCTCGACGCCATCATTGTTGTAAGAAGTAAACAACGAAGAGAACGGAGAAAACCGCGAAATTGTTGAACGCATGAAAAATCATTTTTATTATGCAAATTCTCGTAAAAATCATGCCGTTGTGTTAAATTATTCTTTATCTTATGTGTACACACGTTGTCACAAGCGAAAATGAAGAAAATAGCAGTAAAAAGCCACCACCAAATTGTAGACAACGAAGAAATGTAAATAAACGGCTAATGTCAAAATCGTTAAACTTTTTTCCTTAATGCGATTCTAACGGGCTACTCTCCTGCCCGCGTGATCTTGTCTTTTTGGTTCATGAGTTATATCGCTGTTGTTGCGTACATCGCAGTCCGTTATTTCGTAGAAATCTGGGCAACTGCTATCTCTGACTCCAATTAGCTACGAACCTAACATAACAGTTGAATTATATGTACGTTTGGTGCGATTCGGAATCTCTTATTGAGTTTGCGTAGATATCTTTCCTCACGGCAGTCGGGTCTACGTAACTGTAATGAAGCTCCCACGGCATTGGAGTCACGTAACCGGGACCCCCCATACTACGTTTATGCGTAGGCCAATATGGTTTACCATGAACAAAGAATTTGGTTTACCAGAAGAAAGAGTGAATTCTGCTGCATAAACGTAGTATCAGATTCAAATGTGGTCAATGACTATCACTTCACATCATTCCCCAAAAACTGTTTGGATAATTTGCATGCTGTTACATGCACAACTATTTTAATTTTTCAAAATGATAAGTCAAATCTAAAGCCCACATTTGTATGACCTCGATTTTACATTCGGCACAAAATAAAGGTTTACAAGAAATATAATACATTCTTATTTCGTTTTAAATGCCTTTCTAACTAAAAATTTTTGCCCAAGACTAAAGTAACTGCACAGGTGTTTCACCGCGTGCCCATTGTTCCGTAACGGTTACGTAATTGCTATTATGCACCCTGTAAATCAGCTGATTTTCGACATTTGTTTGTGTTTTATATGTTTTTTTTTCCTAATCTTCATTTGAGAATGGAAAATGCAATCAAATCTTAAAATTTCACGTGTTACAAGCAAAGGATTGCATTTATTAAGCTGCCGATATAAACACAAGTTTTCGCTTCGCCAGAAGCATTCAATCGCAGGTAGTGCCGTCGAAATTCTCATTAATAAATTAAGTTTTGAAAGAAGCGTTTTGTTTTAGCGGTTCCAACTTTAGCGCCGGGCTATGATCCGCGCGCTGTGGAAAAGGATAAATATGTACATAGAAAGGCACGGGAAGCTTGTGGTGGTAAACACGGATCATACCGCATGCTGCTACCGCCACCAAATGTAACAGGAATCCTGCATTTAGGCCATGCGCTAAATGCCACTTTGCAAGACGTTATATGCAGACAGCACCGTCAAATGGGTTATGAAGTTGAATGGATACCGGGCACAGATCACGCAGGTATAGCAACGCAAGTGATTGTGGAGAAAAGTTTGCTGAAGGAACGTGGGATAACACGGCATCAACTTGGGCGCATTCCATTTCTGCTGGAAGTTTGGAAGTGGAAGCGAAAAAAAGGTGATGGAATTATTGATGACCTACGAAAGCTGGGATGCACGCTCGATTGGGATAGCGAATATTTTACTATGGATGAGGTAAGATGGATATACCCTAAACGATTTTTGTTATATAATACGCACAAAATTTGTTTTCAGCGACAATCGCGCGCAGTCGATATGGCGTTTATACGGCTCTTCGAAGAAGGTCTGATTCAACGTCAAAAATCATTGGTCAATTGGTCATGTGCCTTAGAATCGGCTATCTCCGACATCGAAGTGGACTTATTGGAATTAAAGGGACCCACTGCATTAGCTGTGCCAGGTCATGAAAAGAGTATCGAGTTTGGTCGTATTTATGATATTAAATATCATTTATGCGATTCAGATGAAGAAATAGTAGTATCTACAACACGTCCTGAAACCTTGCTGGGCGATGTAGCTGTGGCAGTACATCCTCAGGATCCGAGGTATGAAAAGTATCGTAACCGAGAACAAGTATTCCTTAATCACCCTTTTCGCAAGGAGCCCATTCCTTTGATTTTCGATGTAAATGTTGACCAAGACTTTGGCACTGGTGCTGTGAAACTCACGCCCGCCCATGACCGTGCTGATTACGAAGTAGCACAAGTTCATCTGTTGGAACCTATACAAGTTTTTACAGAGCAAGGCAAAATCACAGATAGATTTGAAGAATTCAAGGGATTGCTGAGATTCGATGCACGTCAGCAGATTTTGGATGCACTCTCAAATCTCCAATTACTCGATGTTGTTAAGCCGCATTCAATGGTATTGCCAATTTGTTCACGCACAAAAGATGTAGTCGAATATATGCTGCGTCCACAATGGTTTCTACACTGCAAACCATTGGCGGATGCAGCAATGTCAGAAGTACGAAGTGGCCGGCTAAAGATTCAACCAGAAAACTATGAAATTGATTGGTTCCGATGGCTTGGAGCTTGTCGTGATTGGTGCATTTCACGCCAGTTATGGTGGGGACACCAAATTCCTGCTTACTTGGCTACGGATGTTGATGGCAACACTTGTTGGGTAGCAGCGCTTAATGAAGATGAAGCAAGAAAGAGAGCGAAGACAGTACTCAATGCAGAAGTTAGCAGCGTTGAACGAGATCCGGATGTGTTGGACACATGGTTTTCATCATCGTTGCTGCCCTTCTCCGTCTTTAATTGGCCATCATCTGAGTACAAGATGCGTTATCCCTTGGATTTAATGGCGACAGGACATGACATCCTATTTTTCTGGGTGGCTCGAATGGTAATGCTCGGCGTAAAATTAACAGGGCAGGCGCCCTTTAAAAAAGTGGTTCTAAATGGCATTGTATGTGATGCGCATGGCCGAAAAATGTCGAAAAGTCTTGGCAATGTGGTTACCCCACAACAAGTAATACAAGGTGCAAGTCTGGAGGTAATTTTAACAAATTTGGTTATAAATATAGTATATATTTAGAAAAATTTCATTATTTCTATTTTAGTCTTTGGAAGCAGATCTGCAAGGATCGCATGACGCTGGCTTACTTAGCACAGAGGAATTGAATAAATCACTTAAAGGCTTGCAAAAAATGTTTCCTAAAGGCATACAACAATGTGGCACAGACGCANAAGTAATACAAGGTGCAAGTCTGGAGGTAATTTTAACAAATTTGGTTATAGGTTCTATATTTAGAAAAATTTCATTATTTCTATTTTAGTCTTTGGAAGCAGATCTGCAAGGATCGCATGACGCTGGCTTACTTAGCGCAGAGGAATTGAATAAATCACTTAAAGGCTTGCAAAAGATGTTTCCTAAAGGCATACAACAATGTGGCACAGACGCGCTTCGTTTTACACTCTGCAGTCATAACATAAAAAATCATTTTATTAATTTTGACGTAGCCGAGTGCTATACGAATAAACTGTTCCTTAACAAAATTTGGCAAGCAACACGCTACACACTTGGAGCTGCCGAAAAGTTGAATTTATCACTGTCCGAAATTGAGACTTTGGAAAATTGTACGCTAGGCAAGTGGGATCGTTGGATACTCAGTCGATTGTCGGACACTTTAACAACGGTTGCTCAAAGCATTGACCAATATGACCTTCATATGGCAACGTCCGCGATAAAGCAATTCTTTTATAATAGCTTGTGTGATGTTTATCTGGTAAGAATCGTTAATTGAATTTTAAAAATAATTTTCAATTATTAACGCAATATTTTCCAACGCAGGAAACCACAAAACCGGCTATCAGTAAAGGAACGGCCAATGGTTACATCAATTGTGCAACGCTCGCGACATGTCTTAGTTGGGGTCTCCAGTCGATGTCCGTGTTTACGCCTTTCATTGCCGAAGAGCTGCTGCAATACTTGCCACGTGGCATACATCTGCAAATAAGTAGATATTTTGACGCCGACATAGAGGCGGAGATAGATGTGATATTGGCTATTTGCCAAGCCATAAGGCAGCTGAAAAGCCAAAACAAAATATCAAGAAAACACGAACCATGTGCTCACATATTTGCTCCCGACAAAAAAAGTGCTGCAGACTTGCAGTTACATTTGAAGGAAATGAGAGCGCTAACATTGACGAAACAAGTAGTTGTGGAATTTCTAACTCCGGCTGAATTGAAAGAGCGCAGGCAGCATTTTCAATTTTTTTCCACTGCCGGACATTACTGCTCCTTCGGTAGATAATTTATGAATTTAATGAAATGTTCTTTCTAATGTGTATTTTCAATGTCTTTAGGGCTGCAAGTGAATGCTATTTATGAGAAAACACGTCAAGAACAATCACCCATTAGTGATTTGAACCACAAGAAACTGGCACGGCTTCAAACCGAACTTGAACGCTATCGCATGAGAATCAATGATGAAGGCTTCCAGCGTTCAGCGAGTGAACAGGTGCAGAAACGACATAATCAAAAGGTACGTTTCTTTAAATTCCAATGAAGGAAATATGAAATAAAAATCTTTCTTTAATGCAGATTCAACAACTGGAACTGGAAATAAAAAATATAAAAAATTTGGGCGGTTGAATGTGTATTGTGAAAATTAGAAACGCATAACGTTTTGTTAAGTTAAATTTGTTGTTTTTACCTTAATATATACAAACGTTAACATATTCGCACATATAGGTATCTAGGAAATATTGAATCGAATGATATTAGAGGGCAAGCAGGCAAGCGTTGTTCAAAATTCCGCCTCTATTTTCATATGTGTATGTACATATTATTAAATAATATAATTTATCATTATGCCATTCATTTAAATTTAAATTGTATGCTAGACTACAGGACAAGCGTTCTGTGAATAGGATAGAAAAAACCCGCGATTCGACATATCCAAATCCTCATTTGCGTTCGTCACAGTATAAAGCACAAATGGTTTCGTTGCACTTGTTGTATCCACTAATCCCAGTCCACAGAAACGATCGCTAGCCAATGCGACATTATCTTGGGTAGGATTCGGTATAATAATAAAATCAGTTGTGCAATCCTGACTTTGTACAGTCGCAGTGCCAAGCAATGATGGATCGACAACAGCTACATCATTAGTCATCGTGAAGGAGTATGCATCTGAACTCACTTGACTCCAAGTTATTGAGCACATACCTGCGCCCATGCGTACGCAAATACCATATTGTTGATTGGCTATTTGTCGTGTGCCTGGCACACCAATTGAATTTGTCAGCGAATTAGCGGCGGAGTCATAATTGAAGCTTGATACTGTGCCACTTGTATCCATGTAGTATTGCAGGCAACCCGAAGGTGCTTGTGTGGCAGAAGCGCATGCGATTTGTGCAATTTGTAGTTGCCATTGGCGATTAAAGGTGTAGCTATCGGATGTGGCCACAGAGATGGTAATCGGTGATTCACCATTGAAATCGACATAAACATGTTGTCCGCTATTCTCACCACAAATAGTGGGTACACGTGAAGCGCCACCCGTTATAGTTAGGGTATCCGTCAGACAGAAACCATCGCCACTCGGTGGTGCTATAGTCAACGATAGGAAATCGATGCGAAGCTGGCAGATATTCGCATCACATGGTGAGACAACAATTGAGCAGCTGTTAAAAGAGTGGGAGTGAGTACTGCTATGTAGGAGTTAATTGGCTTTGTAGCTTACCGACCGCCACCGCCATATGTGCCGGGGTAACCCGAGTTGTAAAAATAGGTATTGTTGTAACTTGTGCTGGAGCCACAGCCCAGTTGGTCTATAATATATTTAATAAGAGGAATAGAAAATACATATGTTGTAAATGTTTTTTAGCATACAATTAAGCTATGTACTTACATATGCAACACACGGCTTGAGTCGTAACCGTAGTACAGGTACCAGCTGCCACACCACCATTATCACTACATTCGCCTCGTACCACACATGTGCCGGACAATTGATTGGCGCCGGTGCAGACATCGTTGGCAAAACGTCCAATCGTATAAAATGGAAACCCTGTAATTAATGGGAATG